CCTCAGCCCCGGCGTCAGCTTCAGTCTCAGCTTCGGGCTGAGGCGAAAGGCTCATAGATTCTGAGCGCTTGAGTGACTCTTGTTCACGGCTCAGGCTGTAAGCAATATGCTCTGGTGCGCGATCCGCAGTGGGCGGACGCGGGAACTGATTGGTAAAGTCGGACAGCAGAGGCCCGTCCCGGGGCGGCCCTTCGCGAGAGGGAAGCCGCAGGGAGCTGATGGACGTGCCCGCGGTCCGGGGCTTGTCGCCGCTCTGCGTAGAGCCAGAGGCCTGCCGGATGTGGCTCAGCTGTGCGCGGGCCAGCTCCATGTCACGCTGCTTCAGCGATTTGACACGCTCGGCGCGACTCTGCCTGCGGGTGTTCATCTTGGCAGGCGCCCTGCGTGCCGCCTTATAGGGAGGTGAGGCTGCTGCGACAGGGGGCGAGTATTTGGATGCAGGAAGCTGAATGAGTGACGCGCGGGGCGTGGCACCGGGCGTTGTCTGTAGGACGACTGATGCGTTTGAGTAACCTCGTACTTCCCTGGCGTTCTGTACAACGGGCTCAGACCCCTCTGACACAATGCTCGTGGCGATTGATTGCTCCGAGAAGGAGAGGGTGCTCGGACTGAGCTCGGGAAGCTCGATCGGAGCGCTGAGCCTTTCCGTCTGTCTTTGTTGGGTCTCCAGCATGCCGTCAATAGACCATTGATTCTGGCTGCTCATAGCTGCGGCTATGGGCGTTCGGAGGCTCGACTTGCGGGTCGGCAGCTTGATTTCATCGGGGCGCTGCGACCGCCTGGGTGAGGCGCTGGAGGCGGATCTTGGCGGCGGGCCAGGGGCAGATTGCAGCATGTTCGACGTGGTCAACCACGAGACGTGAACCTTCCGAAGGCGATCTTCCATAATGGTTTCTGGCGTCTTTGGGCTCGACGTCGATGATCTCGGGACCTCGACATGGTCGTTGGGATCCATGGGCATGGGTGCCCTGTGCGACTGGGCCGGCGTGCTCGGAGACCGGCCTTTGGTGCTGCCAGACGCTGTACTTGGAGGCGATCGTGGAGGGCTCAGAGGAATGTCGCGCTGCCAGAGTAGAACTGATGAATCGAAACTCTTGGGTTCCATCTTGGGCATTGCGTTCTTCTTGGAGGCCTTCATCATGGAAAGCCACTCCGAGTCTCCGTGTGCGGTACCGGGCGCACTGACTGAGCCATGCTCGTGGCGGGGTCGTAAAGAGCGATCTCGTGATCCCGATGACGTTCGCGGGTCGGGCGGAGGCGACGGCGGGAGCGGTTTTGTAGCGTTGAAAGCTGTGACGGCCCAGTCTGAGTCGGGTCCCAGGTGGCAGTGCTCCATGGGGATAGATATGGCAATATGTGAGTGGCCGCTGGAGGTCTTGGAGGCCACGGCCGAGTCTGGCAGGGCCGTCCTCGGTCGAGTCTCGATCGACAGTGTTGGGGTAGGCTTGTTCAGTTTCGCACGGATTCTCTTACGAAGCTGGCGCCATTTCCCGATGTCCTCGACCATGTCGGCATCGTCATCAAAGGCTGAGGCAAGGTAGTTGTGCGGCGGTGGTGATTCTGTGCGGAGGAACTGGATGAGCTCGCTGATGTCTGACCTCTCGCCGTTGTCTCTGGCGCGAATGCGACTGCCTTCGTCGAGAGAGATCCGCTGGCTGGCATTGTCTTCATCCTCTTCTGCACTGTTGATCGTCATGTTGACAATATCACCGGAGGACTTGGTTCGGGGAAGAGCAGACTTCTCGGCGTCGTCCTGATCCTGACCGAAGAAACTGAAGCGAGGAAAGTCAAGTCGAGGGGCGCCGGCGGCCGAAGACGCAATGGTGACCTCCCCAGGAATGGGTCGGTTGATCCCTTGGATGGCCATCGCGCGTGTCGTGGGGTATGGGGCGGCCCTCCTGAGCACGCAGATCGGCGAAAGGAGAGGCTGACCACTGGAACGTTGTGAAGCAGCGAAAGGCAAGTGGTATGGAGAGACGCCGGCGACTCCTGTCAAGACAGATCAGAAGGGCGCGGTCTCTCGCACAAGCGAACTAAATACGGAGGGTATTTAGCAAGTCTTGTCTTTGGTGCCTTGCTTGAAGGAAACGCAAGGAGGCGAGACAGAGGCCGATATATGTCGGAAATCCGGCTCTGTCCATCAGAAGAAACGCTCATCCACCTACGCCCATGCATGCGTCGGTACCGTACAGCAGAGCAGGCCAGAGAAGAACAGGGCAGACACTTGGGTGAGAGGAAGTCTAGGTGCATCAGGGTTGAGAAAAGAAAATAGAGGCAAAAGCATAAATGTCAAACTGGGCTGGTTTTTAGACCCGAGCGTGCTCAACCATCCCCCACGATGAAGGCACCAGATCTTCCAGGCCCTCATCCACACACCCGTCCGTGCAAGTGAGAGCCAGCTAGAGACGGCGTAATTAGTGGCCGCTCAGAGTCAAACAAGAGGGGCGAATGGGCCGCTAAAGTGGACGACTTGCGGCAAGGGAGGGCGCGGCGCGGGGCCGGGTGGTCCAGGGCTGGGCTCAGCGCCTCACTAGAGGACCCAGAAGCTCAACCTCGGTGGGTGGGCGCCGTTTGCTAGGCGGACGACCTAGGCGGCCCTGACGCAACGCATGGCGCTCGATTGCGTTTTCGCGGGGGGCCACGCTCCATGCCGGGTGAGGAGTCCAGCCCGGTGGCGGAGGCCAAGGAAAAGCGTTGGGCAGCGGGAAGTGCGCGTTGAGCGCCCGGCGGAAGCCAGCAAGCGCGGACGGACCTCACAGCCCTGACGGGTGAGGGTGAGGCAGGGTCCTGAGCCCTGACGATGCTTAGTTCGTTACCAGTCCTGCGACGGCGACTTAATTCTATTGTCCCGTAGTATTTTTGTCCCTTGCCTCCGGTTGTTGTTGTGCTCGCATCGTGTCTCGAGGAAGAGGCACTGAGACAAGCACGATGGCCAAGAGACTCCAGAACGACGGCTGCCGAGAGACAGCAGGCGAGAGGTGCGAAGCCTGGGGGCAGGGTAGGGGAGGGGGGATGGGAGGGAGGGAGAGAGAGAGAGAGAGGTCGAGCGGACATGTCAATTGGCGCAACCTGTTTGCGACAGGTCGCCGAAAGTATTTCTTTTCTTGCTTCGCAGGTTCGCAAGCGTCCAAGGTGGCACACCCTTCTGTGGACCGGTCTCTTTTTCTCTTTCTCTCTGTGTGTGTGTGTGTCTGACGATGTCAGTAGCGTGGTGCGGGAAAAGCAAGCAACGAGGCGCCAAGGTCCGATCAAGTTGTCCGTCGCTCTCGTTACGCCATTCCCAGATGACAGCGGTCGCAGGGTCTAGTTTGTTGTTGTGTAACGACGGCTAGCTCCCTTCTCGACGATAGAGGTACAATGACCCGAGCGAACTCGACTCTTTTTTCGTGAGGCAGGCGAAAGACAACTGAAAGGCGCCAAGATGGGGGGGGGGGGGAGCATGATGGAAGGACGCGGGCTGAGCACCACCAACCCAAGGCGCGCCAGACGCGTGGTTGCAGGGGGTAGACGCAACCCAGGTCACGTCCAGCCTGCCAGAACGTCCATCGCACATGAACCAGGACAGCATCATCCGACGATCTCCTGCAGGCCCTTGGTTGCTTGGCGGTATGACCAGGCATCGGAAGCCGGGGCCGGCGCTCGCGTTGGCATGTTGGGACGAGGAGTGGCTGCGTGGTGGCCGGCCCAGCTGGAAGGTTCAGCTTTCTGGTGCTGGGCCTTGCGAGAGCTGTCGAGACAATGTCTCGTCCCCTTACCTCCCAACCAGTCTGACATTGCCCCGCGATATGGGGCCTCACACTCTTGTCTGTCTGGCCCTAGGCGGACGGGAGGAGTGGGCCAAAACATTGAACAGCCGGCCGATGCAAGACACGGCATGCAGGACTGGCTGATCGATGGGTGACAGACTGGCTTCTTGCTTGGAGACACGGTTCTGCTGACCATCAGGTTCGTCATTATTGATAGTTCGTAGGTGACCTGTTAGCTCGGGGGGATCATCTGGCGTATGGTTGGGTCAACGATGCCAGCGGGCTGTATGTGTGTCAGATGTCCGAGGCGGACCCTGACAATCACGACAATCTTGTCCTGCCTTGTCCAGGTCCCCGAGAGGCAAGAGAAAGAAAGAGAGAAAGAAAAGACACGCGCTTCGACAGGGTCCGGAGCCCGTGGGCAGTCCCCGAGTCGGTGGGGGGGGGGGGGGGGGGAGATGGGAGAGACGTCGTCTCAAAGTAATACCGAGCGGCTGTCACAGGATGGCGCCATGGCATTCGGAGATGGTGCGGCTCCGATTGTGTGTTGCATCCGTCAAACCTGGTGACGATCCATCTAGATACGGCAGTGTGAAGGCGAAGCTTTTTTTGGCAATGTCGAACGCGGGGGTGTAACGCTCGCCATGATGGGGGTTGTGGGATGGGGACGTGGGAGAGGGTATGGGTAACTGTTGACTACCGGTGACTGGCGTCGGCACAACCCCGAGCCGGGAACGTGGCGGTATCGCGTGATCGCTGCCCATGGCTCGCTTGATGGGTTCAGCAACGATCGTCGACGGAATCGACAGAGTTGCGCAGTTTTGGTTACGAGGAGATCGAGGAACTTGGTGTTTTTGCCCATCGGTAGCAGGAGCAGGACAAGGCTGGTGCTCCACCTGTGGCTGGTGCTCGTCTTTCCGCCGAGTTTCACTTCACGTTCAAGACGCCACAGCCATGACGCGCTGTCGGTCATCGACTTGTGGCGCCGCAACAGCCTCGTGCCGTCTCATGCTCAAACAACTCCAGGCAGTAGGCAGCAGGCAGCAGGCAGCAGGCAGCAAGCAGCAAGTCGACAGCATCAACACAACACAGCACACAGCACACAGCAAAGCACATGGCCATTGCGAGCCGGACTGAGACGACCACCTCGCTTCACCCTGCCGTCTGCTTCTGTTGGATATGACCTGCATCTGCATCTCAGACATCTTCATCGATCGAGCCCCTTCCCCAGCATGCTGAGAAGCTGTGCCCTGCATGTCGGCAAATGCCCCCCAGCCGGTGAAGCTCTCGCTGCCCCTTGTGAGCACCCGATTCCTTCTCTCCTTGTTCTTCCGTCAGATGCTGATCGTGACGCCAGGAGTACCAACAAACCCTGTTCCAGGAGCTTCGGTCTGACGATGAACTCGTCGTCATCGCCAAGGGCCTCGGCCTCATGCGCCTGGTCACGAACCTGCTCCATTCCTACGATGCCGCCGGGAACAACCTGATCATCATCGTCGGCGCCGAGGATCGCGAGAACGCCTGGATCGGCGAGGCCCTCGCCGAGCACGCCGCCATCAGCATGTCGCCCAAGGCCCGCGGCCTCACCGTCGTCAACACGGACTTTACGAGCGTCGGCGCCCGCGAGAAGATGTACGCCCGCGGCGGCATCTTCAGCATCACCTCGCGCATCCTCATCGTTGACCTGCTGACGAGCCTGCTCAACCCCGAGACCGTCACGGGGCTGGTCGTGCTGCATGCCGACCGCGTCGTCGCCACCTCGCTCGAGGCCTTCATCCTGCGCATCTACCGCCAGAAGAACAGGGCCGGCTTCCTCAAGGCCTTCTCTGACAACCCCGACCCCTTTGCCACGGGCTTCTCGCCGCTGTCGACCATGATGCGCAACCTGTTTCTGAAAAAGGCCTCGCTGTGGCCGCGCTTCCACGTCACCGTCGCCGAGTCGCTCGAGGGCAAGAAAAAGGCAGAGGTCATCGAGCTCGAGGTGCCCATGACCGACGCCATGAAGGACATTCAGAATGCCATCATGGAGTGCGTCGAGGTCAGCATCCACGAGCTGAAAAAGGGCAACACGGGTCTCGAGATGGACGACTGGAACCTCGACAGCGCCCTTCTCAAAAACTTTGACGTCATGGTCCGCCGCCAGCTCGAGCCCAACTGGCACCGCGTCAGCTGGAAGACGCGTCAGATTGTCCACGACCTGTCCGTCCTGCGCGGCATGCTGCACTCGGTCCTCTCCTTTGACGCCGTCTCCTTCCTGCAGCACCTCGACACCATCCACGCCGCCCACTCGCCGCCGCCCGGCTCCACGCGCCAGAACCAGTCGCCGTGGCTCTTCCTCGACGCCGCCCAGACCATCTTCGAGACGGCACGCAAGCGCGTCTACGCGGCGAGCGCCAGGGCCGCCAACGCCGCCGGCGCCGGCGCCGACATTGACGCCCTGCGGCCCGTCCTCGAGGAGCTGCCCAAGTGGGCGCAGCTTGCCGAGGTGCTCGACGAGATTGACCGTGCCCTCTACTTTGAACCCCCCGTGCGCGACGACTCGAGCGGCTCCATCCTCATCATGTGCTCCGACGCCAGCACGTGCAAGCAGCTGCGCGACTACGTGCAGACGATGCACGTCAAGCCGAGGGTGGACAAGACGACGACGGCTGCTGCGGCACCAGGCGCGGAGGAAGAGGAGAACGGCGGCGGCGACGACGGCCTCGATGTTTCGGGCGCCTTTATGATGAGGAGGAAGCTGCGTAACTATCTCAAGTGGAAGGGCGAGTTTGCGCGGGTCAGCGCAAGGCTGTTCTCGGAGAACCAAAAGGCGCTCAACGGCGCGACGGACGCGCGGTCGGGCCAGCCGCTGCGGGGCAAGGCGCCGGCGAACAAGAGACGACGCGTCCGCGGCGGCGGTGCCCTGGGTGGCCACGCCTATGGTCGCACGGAAAATGGCAGTGTCGCGGCCTTTTTCGAGAAGCCGTCAGACGTCGCCGACCTCATTGCCGAGGTGCAGATGACGACGGAGGAGGAGGCGCAGCAAAAGGCCGACGTCGTGACCGATCCGCTCGAGGACATGGACGACTACTATCAGCTGTACGAGATGCAGGACCTCGTCGTCATCCACGCGTACGACGGCGACCAGGACGAGCACGTGCTCGAGGAGGTCAAACCGCGGTACATCATCATGTACGAGCCGGACGCCAGCTTCATCCGGCGCGTCGAGGTGTACCGGTCGTCGCACAACGACCGCAACGTGCGGGTGTATTTCATGTACTACGGCGGCTCGGTGGAGGAGCAGCGGTACCTCTCGGGGGTGCGGCGCGAGAAGGACGCGTTCACCAAGGTCATCAAGGAGCGGGCCAGCATGTCGATCGTCATGACGACCGACGACCGCGGCGTCGAGGACCCGCAGGACACGTTTCTGCGCACGGTCAACACACGCATCGCAGGCGGCGGGCGGCTCGCGGCGACGGCGCAGCCGCCGCGGGTCGTGGTCGACGTGCGCGAGTTCCGGTCGTCGCTGCCGTCGCTGCTGCACGGGCGCAACATGGTCATCGTGCCGTGCATGCTGACGGTGGGCGACTACGTGCTGTCGCCCACCATCTGCGTCGAGCGCAAGTCGGTGAGCGACCTCATCTCGTCGTTCCGCGACGGGCGCCTGTACACGCAGGCCGAGACCATGTTCCAGCACTACAAGAACGTCATGCTGCTCATCGAGTTTGACCAGAACAAGTCGTTCACGCTCGAGCCGTTCGCCGACCTCTCGGGCAGCCTCAGCAGCGTGGCGCCGACCAACGTGTCGTCGGACCTGCAGTCCAAGCTCGTGCTGCTGACGCTGGCGTTCCCGCGCCTGCGCGTCATCTGGAGCAGCTCGCCGTACCAGACGGCGGAGATTTTCGAGTCGCTCAAGACGCAGGAGGACGAGCCCGACCCCATCGCCGCCGTGCGCGCGGGCCTCGACCGCGACGCGCAGGCCGAGGACCAGAGCTTCCACCGCGAGCCGCAGGCCATGCTGGGCATCGTGCCGGGCGTGACGCCGCAGAACATCAAGAGCCTCGTGCTGGCGACGGACAATGTGCGCGAGGTGGCCAACATGCGCGAGGGCGAGCTCGCGCCGCTCGTCGGGCGGGAGGCGGCGCGCAAGATTTTCGGCTTCTTCCACCGGAATGTCGTGGAAGACTGAGTGCCTGGGCGTCGATGGCTGGACTCGATGGTAACGAGAGCAACGAGAGCAACGAGAGCAACGAGATGATGGGGTGGGTTTATACGTCTGTCAAATTCGGGCTATTCGGGCTACTCTCTAGTATAAAGGGCAGGCATACAAGTGCAGCTGCGGAGCATGATACGATCAAGACTGTAGCGGGTCAAAGTCGGTTACGATTTTCAACGACACCAGGAGATAGTATGAAAGGGTGCACCGTTTTGAAGCCATTGCTGGCGTCCGTGCAGGACGACAAGGCGAGTTAATGTACGGTAATTGCATTACCATTTGGCTCACTCGATAATACAATTGTCATATTCAAGGCTTCACGAGTAGTGCACGCATCCATTCGACATGCAGTGAGAATTGTCGGAACCAGCGTATGCATAGCGAGGCATATCCAGTGGCACCCTGTACTTCACGAGTGCAAAGGCATCATTTCACAGCAGTGCCAAAAAGCACGCAAAGAATGACAACAAAAAAGCATGGTAAAAGATGGGATTGCAGAACAAACTAGACTAGGCTAGGGGTATCGGTATGCAACCATCGCATCGCAAAAAAAAAACAAGACAGAAAAAAACCAAACACCGGAAGACGTGGCAGCAGGGCAGACGTGGCAGCAGGGCAGACATGGCATCATGCTGCCCCCGAAGACAGTCCGCCCACCGCACAGCGTCCCTCAGAGTGACTCCTCAACCGGACTCCTCCGGACGCATCCTCGTGACTGCCCCCATCTGCCGAGGCCAGGCTGCAACGACGGCGTCCCACAGACACAGAGCGAACCGTTATTGCTTTTCGTTCCGGACCTCGTTGCTTTGTCGGGCCAGAGAAAGGGGCGGCGCTAGACTCTGCTCCTCGTGCCGCCGCCGCGCCTGCGACCGCCACGGCCGCAGGTGAGGCACGAGATGATGATGTTGAAGAAGGAGACGATGCCGCCGATGATGGCGTGGAGGATGTTGCCGATGCCGCTGACGATGGCCGTGAGGCAGTTTCCGATGGTGCGGAAGACGGATTGGATCTTGGACGTGTTAGTTCTGTTGTGCTGTGCTGCGTAACGCAGAGGGGAGGGCCGGGCTGGGCGAGGTGCAGCCAAGTGCCGGCAGTAGGGCGTGCCCGCTACAGGCCCAAAGGGCTACAGGCCCACAGGGCTACGGGCCAAAGGGGGGAAGGGACTCACGCAAGAAACGACGGCACCCATGATGAGGTTAGGCGCTGTGGCGCAGATGTGTTTTATGTGTGGTAGTGGGGGGGGAAGAGGTGGTGATTTCTCTCCGCTGTCGGACTAGACACGGAGTCTGGCGTTGATGTATTGGTGGTGGTGGTGGTAGTAGTGGTTGTTGTTCTTGTTGATGATGCTGAGAGCAACAGAAGGAAAGAAAGCCCGTCTTAAATACAGAGAGCAAAAGGACAAAAAAGACTGGAAGACGGCCCAGCCGCTGGTCACACGGCCAGCCCAATCTCCTTTCTCCCACACCTTGACCTCACCGCACATCGAGCCCATGCCATGCAGACGCCCGGCCGGGTTCCTCCTGTCAGCGCCAGAAGGCACCAGCACCACGAACACATCACGCATCATGTCGCACGAGACATGCAGCGACAGATCGTGATGATGGATGGATCGCCGACGCCTGACGTCACGGCGCCACAGGAACGAGCCACATACAGCCTTGTGGGTAGCAGTCTGGACGCCCATCATTGGCCTGTCCTCTCGTCAAGCTCCACATCCGGAGCAGACGCACCGAGATGAAGTGTGGCGCCAGGGCCAGAACGCTCATTACGCCCAAAAATGCCCCCAAAACGCGCTGCACATCCCCAACCAACGCACCTCAAATCAAACCTCGTCCGACCGGGGGAGGGGGACCAACCAGATGGCCCGTCAGCAGAGTCATGGCGCCCGTTTGGGGCGTTTGGGGAGGATCATGGGAGGAGGAAGAAGAGGGAGGGGGGCCTGTCCTGGTCAGAAATCTCCCAAAAGCAGGTTCTTCCTTTCACTGTTTCGGCGGGGGTCAGCCAGCCAGCAGCCACGGCCACAGCGTATCGCGGCATATGACATGGACGAGCCGCATACGTCACAGACTTTGTGGATGCAGCACCCTGGCTTCGGCCTTCGGAGGCGCCTCTTTGGGAATGCCATGTCGTCGTCGCTCCATTGTATTCGCCGCGGGTGCCCCATTTTTCACCGCGGGAACACATGCGATGCGCTGAGGGTGACGAGAGTCCAGATGAGGATCGTACACTCTCTCGCCACGTTGATGGCTGGCCGAAAACAGCCAGCCGGCGCCAAGCTAGCAGCATCTTTTGACAGGAGACCGTTTGTGGGTTTGATGTGGATCGAGGCATCGACGAATCGTGTCCCGAGGCAAGGCATAGCTCTGTCTGTTGTGTGCCATGTGGCGGTATGCGTTATAGTGCCACTGTCTATCGAGGGAATGTCGCAGTCACGTGGATATCATGGAGAGGATAATCTCCCTCTGTATTCGACCTTAGTACACATTATCGTACTCTGTATAGTGAACGAACAGTGAGACATCCAACAATACCACCACCACAGACACTACGATGGCAAGGGGGGAACAAAAAAAGCCACACTCCTTAGAGGTGAGCTTACTTTGAACCGTTCTACTATACTTTACATCGGCTCAAAAATGATCAAAGTAGATTTGCCCTTCATAGTATCGCCGATTATCCAGTAGGTAGAATTTCAGAGCATTCAATCGAGATACGAGTTGTTGAGAGGGTTACGAACCTAGGAGTCTTTCTGGATGATACCTGTGTTTGGCGGATTTGGAGTGCGGCTTCATCTGTCCCCCCCTTGGATGGGTATAAACAGGACGCTCAATCAAGACCTTACCTACTGATAGTACAGACTTGCTCACAATAGTACTCCATCCAAGTCTTTCTTCATATCCATTACAGCGCGTACGCAACGCCGTACGACCCATCGCTAGAGTCACGACCTAAGCCTCTGCTGTACAAGGATAAACCCCTCTGACAGTGTTTCTTTGCCTACAAGCCTGCGAGGTCGTACCAACTACCTATGCTGCTACAGCCTCCGCAGAGACCCTGGTTGCCGCAGCATCCCTCAGAGGCCAAAACTCGTGCACCGGGTCTATACATCCACCACCCTTTCCAAAGCACTCAGCGCATAGATAAAACAAAGTATCGCCGCAGCGAGCGCATTGTTGACCAGAATCGTCAGGAACGTCTCGCAAGCAGCTGTCGCAATACGCGAGGCCGCGCTCTGCTGCCTCGTCCGCCGCCACCTCGTCGTCACCGTCAGGGGCGAATGATCCCGGCATGGACTGTGCATCTCCCTCGGCTTGGTGTCTCTTGAGGCACGCCGCCACGGCCCGCCGCCCGCACTGCTCTGCCGCCGTCAAAGGCGTCCATCCCTTCCAGTCCGCCGTGTCCAGGCGCGCGCCGGCCCGGACGAGGGACCACACTGCCTGCAGACGCCCGGCTCTTGCTGCAAGCAAGAGCGGCGTGCGCTGCATTTCGTCGCGGCAGTCAACCTCCACAGAGGGGATGCCCGCCACGGCGATGAGCGCCTCGATGATGGCGTCTCGATCGTATCTTGCCGCAATGTGCAACAGTTCGGCTCTTTCGTGAGGCGCGGCACAGACACCGTGCTCGAGGAAGAGCCTGAACATGTCCACGTGGCCCGATCGCGCCGCACGATGCACAAGCGACCTGGCCCTCTTCTCGGCCGCCCAAGCGGCACCAGGTCGACTCTTGACCAGAGTCTCCATGGCTTCCAAGTTATTCGTTTCGGCGGCGTGGTCGAGCGGCCTGAGCCCGTTCATGCTGGGGGCCATGGGATCGGCACCGTGGCCGAGCAGAAGCTTCATGATGTCGATTTGACCATTCCACGTAGCCACACACAATGGCCTGAGAACGTTGGCCGTGTTGGCGCCACTGGCATCCGCTCCATTTTCTAGGAGCAACTTGACGATGCTTGTGTGCGATTTTCTGACCGCAAGCTGGAGCGGGCTATTGCCGTCCTGCGACGCAAAGTTGCCGTCAGCTCCACGCTCGAGAAGCAGCCGCGTGACGGCCTCATGATCAGAATGCACCGCAATGAAAAGAGCGGGCCAGCCTGCCACTGGATGGCCTCCGGCAGCACTGACATCAGCCCCCGCGTCGAGCAGAGCTCTCGTCACTTCGAGATGGCCATGCGAGGCGGCCGAGTACAACGGCAAAGGCCCTTCGGCAAGAGGTCTCGTGACGTCAGCTCCTTTCTCGAGAAGCATCTGCACAATGTCGACACGGCCCGCGATGACCGCCGTATGCAGTGGCGTCTGGGGACTTTCGTCCATCTCGGTAGCATCCACAGCAGCCCCAGCATCCAGGAGCAACTTGACAACCGCAGCGTGGCCTTGGGAGACCGCTACGCGTAGTGGCGGACTCGCGTTGTCGGCGGCTTCGAATGAAGCGTTATGCTCAATGAGGACCTTGACGACATCAACTTGGCCATAATAGGCAGCGTTTGCAAGAGGAATTGAGCGGTTATGACAGGTGGCCCTCATGTTCGCTCCATGCCTCAGCAGCAATCTGACGGCGTCTGGATGACCGTGCCTTGACGCGAAGTGTAGCGGGGTGATTCCGATAGAATCGGCGGCTGCGGGATTCGCACCGTGCTCCAGGAGGAGCCTGACACAATCTGTATGGCCATTCTGCGACACGATATGTAACGCAGTAGTTCCATTCACGTTGACGGCTGCGTGATCGGCTCCGCGGTCGAGAAGTAGTCGAATCAAATCCGTATTGCCGTTCTTTGCTGCCCAGCCCAGAGCCGTGTTTCCTAATGCATCGGTACTTTCAATACCGACCCCGGAGTCGAGCAGTAGCTTGACCATCTCTGTTCGGCCTTCCATTACTGCATAATGAATGGCCTTGTGCACCGTGCCACCATCAGCATTGACTCCACGCCGCAACAAAGACTTTGCAAGGTCCAGGTAGTTCAACTGGACGATCGTGTGTAA